AGGTTGGGAGTTTGATTCCCCCACTGTTTCTCCTGGGAGAAGAGCCAACCTGGGTCGCCTTGGGCAAGCTGCACAGTCCCAGGGCTCCCCCAGAGGAAGGGAAGGGCAAACCACTTCTGAGTATTCCCCACCTGGAAAACGAAAAGAGTCAACATAGGTCAGTATTGGCTTGATGGGACATCATGATGATGGTCAAAGTATTCAGCTTTAGAGGGATGAATTGTGGTGTTCAAAGGGACACCTGCATGCAAGTTTTGAAAATATTTAGCAAAGCGCATGCATAACCTCTTGCTACTGACTCTTCACTGCAAGTCTAAGTATTTACCTGCTTTTCCTTCTTCTCCGCCTCCCTCTGCCTCAGCAAGAAGGCCTCCGCCAGGGGTACTGCTTGGGCACATGTTTCCGGGTCATGTTCCCTCACCCAGCTCTGGATCTCGTCCGGCAGGAGAGTCATGAACTGCTCGAGCACGAGGAGGTCTAAGATCTGCTCCTTGGTGTGCTTCTCGGGCTTCAGCCACCCTCGGCAGAGCTCACGGAGTTGGCCGCAGACTTCCCGGGGCCCCTTGGCCTCGTGGTAGCGGAACTGCCTGAAGCGCTGGCGCTGGGTCTCCGTCCGGATGGCGTCCACTTTCAAAATGGCCGCCTTGACTTTGGCGTATTCCCCTCGGTCCTGGAGGCTGAGGTTACTGTAAGCCTCCTTGGCTTCTTTGCTCAGGACCGGCAGCAAGCGCCCCAGCCACTCCCGGCGAGGCAACTGGCATGTCCCGGCCAGGCGTTCGAAGGAGGCGAAGAAGGCCTTGTTATCCCCCCACGGCGCAGCCTCTTCCGTCAGATGCGGGAGCCCCCACTCGAGATTCGTGGACTGCATGGCGATGAGGAACTCCTGCCATTGGGATTCCCACCGGTCTGACAACCCTTCCTCGGGCTCCTGTTTCACCTGCCGCGGGGAAGCCCAGTGGAGGAACTCCCGGATGGTTCCGACCTGAAGGACGCGCGACGATTTCCCGGTTCGTTCCGCACCTTCTCCCGCTTTGGGACCCACCGGCTCACGCTCTTCCATTTTGATCCCTGGCGCGGCCTGGGCCCGGAAACCACCCCCTCTTCTAGAACCTTCTGCGGCAGCCATTCCCCTTGCAAAAAAAACACCACTACAAAATGGCAAGAAGACTCTGATCACAGCTGAACCTGGGACTACGAAACAACTTCTCCCTGTAAACCTGTGGGCCCGGCTTTACCTCAGCTCTGCCTTCGCAATATGATCAGCAGACGCAGCGGTTTTCCATTAGATTTTTATTCAGGAGGGGAGTGCAAGATTTTCAAATAAGTGCTCGGGTCACGGCACCATCCTTCAAACAGGCCGAACAGATTTTCTCTGAGGGAAAAAAGAGAGAGAGAATGTGAGAAGTGCAGCATATATAATTTTAGAGGCTTCCTGGTCCAAAGCAGACATAATGAAAGGCATAAATGTTTGTTCAGGAAACAAAAGGATCTGTGATTCATACATCTTATGAAGCAGCTGGAGGCAACTCAGGAGAAGATGCTTCTGGGAGGATAAGAGGTCCAAAGAAGCAGGCAGGGATGGTCCTCCTGTTAGGCAGAGCGGGGCAGTAGTCTCAGACGGCGGAAGCTGGGAAGAAGCTGCCGGACGTAGGAGGAGAGAGATGTGAGCAATTCAGCGTTTCCCAAACCCTGTACGCTATCTTACACATGCAGTCGAGAATGCTACCCATTGCAAGCACTGAGGAAAGACCCCTCTGCCAGTCCAACCAGCTTTTGCACATACCGTGTTTCCCTGAAATTAAGACAAGGTCTTATCTTAATTTTTGCTCCAAAAAAAAAAAAAAAAAAGCATTAGGGCTTATTTTCACGGGATTTTTATTTTTGCTCATGTACAGCTATCTACATTTATTCAAATACAGTCATATTTTCTTTTGGTGGCTGCACAAGGGTGGAGGGCGGGGTTTCACTCAACGGGGTCTTATTTTGGTGGTAGGGCTTATATTACGAGCATCCTGAAAAAAATCATGCTAGGGCTTATTTTCAGGTAAGGTCTCATTTTGGGGGAAACAGGGTAGCATGGGAGTGGCTGCCACCTTGCTTTTCACCTTAGGCAGCAAAACATCTTGGAGTGGCCTGAGGCAAGGGTTGAAGGAGGTTTCTACACATACGGTTCTCAAGGAACCACAAGACTTTGTTCTGTGGGTCAATCAAGGCCTAGCAAAATAGCCCAGAAGAAGGCCTATAAGTGGGACTGGGAAAACAGACTGACCCAAGAACTTCTGCTCCCTGAGACACACGACGCAATGTCGCCTTTTCTATTCCCAGCACAGAAGCCAGCGGGCTTGGCAGTTGACCCTTATCTGAATACTTGGAACGGGACAGTTCTCCCACACCACCCCTGCACCCAGTAAGTTAGTTTACAGGTGCAGGACAGAGTCAATAGCTGTGTTTTCCAAAGAGAAGAAAGTGGCTAGAGGCTGAAGAAAAAACAACTAGGGGTTTATTTGTTTTTTGGCCACTGCTCCCCACCAGCATGTGCCGCTTGAGGCAGCTCCCATGCTCTGCCAAAGGGTAGGGCCGGCTCCACTGAGAAACCATTAGCAGCCCAAAGCAAATCTGGGGTCGCTGCCTGGGATAAACGCGGAAACGGAATAAGTCAAGGGTCAAAGTCCTGTTGTTTAGGGTAGTGAACTGCACTTGAGTAGACCCACTGAATCAATGGGTTTTAATGAGTCAACTCCTCCCCTAAGTTTTATTGAGTTAAACGGACGCCAATAACTATGTTAAAGTAAGTCACAGTTAAAGTAGACCCATCTGAATTAATGGAACTTACAGGGGAATTGGCTCATCAAATCTCCATTGATTCAATGGGCCTACTCTAGCACAATTTACTACCTTCGGCAACAGGGCCTCGGTCATTACCATGAAGGACCTTGGCGATCCTGCCTCTAAACGCGCAACCCGAGAAAACCTGACAAAAAAAAAACCTCAGGGAATTTATCATGAAGGAATTTGTTAAGGTAATGTTTTCTCTGAAAGCCGTAAGGTTTCGTCAGTATTTCCTCATTGTGGGCGCTGGAAATCCTGAAAGTCAGAACTGCCCCCATCTCGATTTCCCCTTTTGCGAACAGCAAAATAGGGAGTGGAAGGAACAGTGGCTTCCAATCACAGCCATGATTTTCTCCTCAAAAACTCTGGTGAAAGATCATGAGTGGCATAGCATCGCTTATGAGGTTTTATGGCAGAGGAGATGACAGCTATTGACTCACAGATACAGGGGAAGACCCAGTTCTCCCTGCCACCATTTCAAAGGATGGTGGAATAGCGGAAGGAAAAAAAGATTTATTTTATTTACTTAAAATATTTTTATCCCACCTTTCTCCTTAAAAAAATTTAAGTAAATGCAGCCTTGCAACAGCCTTCCAAATGGGTTGAAAACACAAACCTTTAGCCTTCCTCAAGTTAAAGCAAGACATTGCCTATTTATTTATTTGCTTGTTCTTGATCCTGTCTTTTTGACATAAAAAGAAACTCCATGTGACTATCAGCAATAAAGCACAGACTGAGAACTAAATCTCACTAAAGCATCAGTAAAAAAAAATATGCAAGGTAAAAACACAACGGCTGAAACCCACAACTAGAGTAGACCTATTTGAATCATCACGGAAGGGTGGGTCTACTCATCTTTAAGTGAGCCTACTCGTAACTTACCACTGGCGTTCAGACAATGTACTGAAAGCATTTAAGAACAAGAAAAAAGTTATGTGGTCCCCAAGATTATATAAATTTAGAAGTGGGTGATGAAAAGGTATTACCCACGCATGGACAGCAGAAGAGGTGAGTGGCCAGAAAGAAATAATCTCTCCCTGACAGTGGAAGGAAAATAAAAAGGAAGCCAGCCTGGAGTGCCCAGGTTTGGGAGCAACCACCAAAAAAGGCCATGTCACGAGATATGCCTCCAGTAGCAGACAGAAAGGTGTCCCCTGGGAAAAATTAGGTGGACTCATACTGGACCCACTGGGAACAGGAGAACACCTCCAAGTATCCTTTACCTGGAAAACCCCAGAAAGGGTCTCCATAAATCAAAACTGATCTGATGGCATATGATTACGATAATTATAAACAGCAATGGGTTACCTAGCAGCATAAATCAGAACTGATTTGATGGCACATGATTGTGATAATTATAAATAGCAATGGGTTATCTAGCAGCACAACTGTACCTAGTTATAAAATGCTATAACCAGAGAGACGAATATATAAATCCTTCTTTCTTTTTGTCTCCCCCACTGCATGGCCTGGGGGGTGGGGCTTTCTGCTTTAAATGAGCGTTTCCGATTCTATCTCTGGCCCTAATATGGTAAATAGGAAAGCCAATTAGATTTGCATACACTGAGAGGCAGGAAAGTTTTAAGGGTCAGATCATACTTCTGCACGATTAAAGAGCAGTCCAAGTAGGTAGGGCTCATCAGCCATGGAAGGGAGCCCATCTAGGAGAAGGAAAACTCCGATTTCAAACCTCCACTGCCTTGTGGCTATATCCACTCATGGAAAAGGCTTCAGGAGTTAACCTAGAGGCAAAATCTGGAGCTGGAGGCCCGAAGGCAGTTCGCTTCGTTCTGCCAACTCCTGCGACATTGCTGGAACCAGTTGTATTGGACAAGCGACGGGCGCTCACTCCATCACGTGGATTCGATCTTACGACTGCTTGGTCTTCTAACCCTGCAGCACAGAGGCTTCTGCGGTTTAGCCCGCAGCGCCACCACGTCACAACTGTATCTAGATATAAAATACTATAACCAGGGAGACAAATATATAAATAGGCAAATGCTTATTTAGTGGCTGTGGCCCTTCAACATGTGTAACAGCTGTGTACCAAACAGATTTCCAACAGATGCAGCCTCCTGGGGGATTTGCTGCTTGGGTAACAGTTTATCCTCCATATTATTATACCCAGGCTTTGTGCTCTGGAGAGGACACTTCTCGATACAGAGCATGTTACCATAGTCTCTCGAGACTGAAGGATGTCTATGCTAAATCCTTATTTAGTGGTTGTGGCCCTTCAACATCTGTAACAGCTGTGTAACAAGCTGACTTCCAACAGATGCAGCCTCCCAAAACAGCCATGCTAGAAAATGCTTCATCTGTTGAATTTCGGTGTAAAAAAAGCACAGGAGCCCCCGTCCAGGATTTGAAACCAAAACAAGACACAGAAATAGCAGCTGTAAAAGAGGAAGAGGCCACAAATATTGTATTCTTCTGCTAGCTGTATGCTAGTAAGACAGAACCACGTGTCAGCTCTGGGGGTGACAAAGGAAGGCATTAAAATCTCATGAGTTCGTAATGCCATCCTTTCAAGCACCTTTCGCAGGAGTTTCAAATTGGAGAAATTAGCACCAAAACGACAACAAAAGAGTTTTGTCGCAACTTATAAGCCTTTGGAAGAGATCGGCGCTTGGGAATTGCAAAAAAAAAAAAAAACACTACTTATCCCATTAGATATACGTGAGTCAAGAGGATGCAAAGACTCTTTTGTTGATTGTGCTGCAACACCAACGCTGCGGCTCCCCTCCAACCCCGTGCCAGAAATTAGCAACACAATACAAATGCTAATATGCTAATAAAGTGCCTCCCTGCTAATCCGTGGGGATCAAAAGCAACCACCGAGGCTGATTAAAGAGCTGGCAACCCCTAACGCCTCCAGATCCCCCAAGGCTTGGCTCGTGCAAGATTCTCCCCGGAAATTAGTTACTTTGCAGATTAAATCTGAGCGTGCAAAGAGATGATTATGTTCAAATCTGCATCGTCTCCCAATTGCACTTCTTTTTTCCTTGTGTAGCAAAAACATGCCCCCCAGATTTTGCAAAGCAAACTCACCTGTGGGAACCCCCCCTCTTTTGCTTGCTTGCATGCACGCCTCCTCCTCCTCCTCGCCCTTGCAAACACCACTCCTGGGAAATTCGGAAGGCAATTTTCTTTCCCCCCTCTCTGGGGTAGGTACAAGCAGAACAGGAAGGTGCATCTCGTATTTAAACCCCCCTCTCGCAAGCGTCCCGGGCCTCTCTAGGAAGGAGCCCTCTCTCTAGAGTTAACCCTTCGAGGTGTGCATCAGAGCAAAAGAAATAAGCGGATGTGGAAAAAAAAACACTTGCGTGAATTGTGCTCTAAACACGCTTCCTTAAAGCAAAATTAATTGATTAATTAATGACCTTCCAGTGAGTCACGAGCTCTTCACAACGCTTGCAAATTAAAGTCCGGGGTTTCCTTAAATCAATCCATCTCGCTTTGGGTCTTCCTCTTTCCCTACTGCCTTCCAACGCTTGCAAATTAAAGTCTGAGTCACGAGCTCTTCACAACGCTTGCAAACTCAAGCCTGGGGTTTCCTTAAGTCAATCCATCTTGCTTTGGGTCTTCCTCTTTCCCTACGGCCTTCCACTCCGCCTAGCATTGGTGGGAAGTGAGTTGGATGATGGTAAAAAAAAGAGGCGAGGAGTCGTGATGATTTCTTGGACTCGAAAGAGAGCTGTTATGCCAGAAGGTTTAAAGCCACCACTAAACCCTTAAATCAATCCATCTCGCTTTGGGTCTTCCTCTTTCCTTACTGCCTTCCACTCCACCTAGCATTGATGGGAAGTGAGTTGGATGATGGTTAAAAAAAAGAGGCGAGGAGTCCTGATGATTTCTTGGACTCAAAAGAGAGCTGTTATGCCAGAAGGTTTGGAGCCACCACTAAACTCAGAAGTGGGCAGTTTGTGTCCATGTAGAAGGCTCCATCTCGCTTTGGGTCTTCCTCTTTCCTTACTGCCTTCCACTCCACCTAGCATTGATGGGAAGTGAGTTGGATGATGGTTAAAAAAAAGAGGCGAGGAGTCCTGATGATTTCTTGGACTCAAAAGAGAGCTGTTATGCCAGAAGGTTTGGAGCCACCACTAAACTCAGAAGTGGGCAGTTTGTGTCCATGTAGAAGGCCTCAGCTTAAATTTATGCAACCCTGAGCTTAATTTTAAAAGTCCCCCATGATAGTGGCAACTGGGCAAGGAATTGAGAGGAGAAAAATGTTATGTGGGTCAAAGCATCACCAAGTCATGTCAACCCTAGGAATGAGTGACTTCCAAAATGTCCTTGTCCTTAACAGCCCTGCACAGTTCTTGCAACCTCAGAGCTGTGGGTGGCCTTCATGGAATCCATCCATCTCATATTCCATCATCCTCTGTTCCTTCTTTATTAGCCACAATGGCTAAGGATTCTGGGAGTTGATGTCGAAAAAGGGAACACTTCCCAGCTCTACCACTGCTCTTACTACTACACCATACAATGTGTGTTGTTGTGATTATACGCCAAGTTGGAACTGACTTGCAGTGGCCTTAATAGTGTTTTCAGGCTAAGTGAGATATTTAAGATGTGGTTTTCGGAGTGCCACTCTCCCAGTGAGTTTCCATAGGTGAGTGGGGATTCGAACCCAAGCCTCCTAAGTCCTAGACAGTCACTTTATGTGCAACACCGCACCACATAGCTCTACTCTGTGTGCTGTGTGGCCATCATGTCACAAACAACGTATAGAAATTCTAACAGGCCTTTCAAGGTAAGATGGGTATTTTCCCTGCCTTCCCTGAACCTTTCTTGACCTAAGAAAAAAAGAAACAAAATATCCCCCTCTAGTGGTCGAAGGCGGGGTTGCAGCTTCCCATTAGTTTCTATGGACGGAAAAGAGCAGATACGGATCAAATGGTTTTCAATGCATTCCTATGGGAAATGCAGATTTGACCTGAGAACTTTTTGACTTGAGAACCGCCTTCCAATACGGATTAAGTTCTCAAGTCAAGACCCCACTGTACTACACACAGACAAGGAGAGGCACTGGTTTTCAACACCCCTGTTGTCACTGTTTTCCAGGGGTAGCCCCTCTTTTGGGGTTCCCGATCTTGCTAAACTATTGAAATTGCAATCAAGGACAGTAGCCTTGCTTACAAAGTATTGTTAAATAGAGTACTGTAGATCCTAAACAGAGACACCAAAGCACAGGTAATTGTGATTTGATACCATTGAGTAAGAGCTCAATTAGAGAGCCCTAAATTCATGGTGTAGAATTTGAACTATAAATGAAGAGGTTCCCTGACTTTTGGAGGGGTCTCTAAACAAGCTGCCTGCTTTCAGTCTCAGTCTTCACATCTGGAGCATGGGTGACGTAGTTGGATTGATCATTGCAAGAAAGGGGTGCAAGATGCACGACCAGCTCTTTGAACAGTGCAAGCACTATATCCAAACACCACTGTTCGTATTTATTTTAGAGAACAATTGGAAGAAGCGTCCATTCCCTGCAGGCTTACTAATTATTTTAAGATTTGGTTAATAAAGTGTTCAGCTGATTGTGTATTATTAATGTTTATTATTTACACAATTGGAGAACACGAGTTATGATCTTCCATTCCCTGGACTGCACACAAAATGCAGGAATGTAAATATAACACCTTTCAAAAGCTGCACGCATACATCTATTAAAATACATTTTTTTAAAGATTGCAAACCCAATAAATGCAGATCAGACTGAGTTTAGAAGACTGAGAAAATGGGAAAGGCTCTTAAATATTTAAATATATGTAAGTTAAAATAATATTGTAAAATTATGCTCAGCCCAGCTTAACAAAAGATTTAGGAAGTCAGATTTCTGAGGGGTGGGGTGGGGTTACCATCTAGAAAGCAATATAAGGGAGGCATCAGAAAGGCGAGGAAAATAAATAAAAATGAGGTGGCTGAAAGATCAGGGCAGTTCTCTTTCCCAGTTTTTTGGCAGGAGAGAGAACAATATTTCAGTAATACAGTACATGTCCCAGCTGTTCTCTCCTTATGAACTCTGGGTGATTTGGACTACAACTCACCTAAGCCCCAGTCAATTTAGGAAAGAATCAGAGTGTATGGAATTTGTAGTCCAAAATGTCTGATTATTATACGCTGATTGTTGTTGTTAAATTTTATTTTGTAAGGAACCAAAGAGGTTAAGCTGACTGAGCAGTGATTCCTAGATAGGTCTTGAATCTGTTTTATTTATTTATTAATTTTTAAATTAGCACAGGCTACTTCCTGTTCCTGCCTGTCCTCTCCATAATTGGAGCAAAATAAATAAATAAATATTTTTTAAAAACAGGGCTGCCATGCTCTGAATTTGGGAGGATTGTGGCAGTTCGGTTTTTTTTAAATCCCCCAGGAAATGCGGCAGCTGTAGCAGCAGAAAAGCAAACTCTGGATCGAGGTGAGTGCATCTGAATTATCGGGATTTAAGAAGTGGGAAAGGAGAAAATCAAAAGCGCAACCACGGGGGCGCCATTTTAAACCGCGTTAAGATCCCACACTTTTCTCCCCCTCGGGTGTGTAGTTGCGGCGGTAGATTGAGGAGTGGAAGAGGGATTTCCCATTCAAAAATCCCAAAAACCCATACTCCAGATTAGAGAGTGCCAGTTAGAAATGTGCAGATTTTTCCTCCCCCGCGCCCGCGGACTTCTGGGAGTTGTAGTCCGCTCAGTGGTTCCTAACCTGGGGTCCCCAGATGTTTTTGGACAAAATCTCTCAGAAGCCCTCGCCACTAGCAGTGCTGGCCAGGATTTCTGGGAGTCGTGGCCCAAGAACATCTGGGATATCCAAGGGTAGAAACCACTCTAGCTAGTCCCGACAGTCTGTCAAAGGCAACTGTGTTACGAGCCAAATCTTGGGATGGGTGAGAATTTTATTTCATGGTTGTTGTGGGTTTTTCAGGCTCTTGAACAACCTCCAGAACATGGGCAAAGAGCCCGAAAACCCCACAACAACCATCAGATCCTGGACTGTGAAAGCCTTTGAGAATACAATTTTATTTCAGTTCATTGTTTGACATGGATCCAACCAACATTTGCAAATGTTTTCATATGCACAACAGGAAAAATCAATTTTAAAAATCAACTATATGTATGAAGCAAGCTTTTAATCCACATGTTAGTGCTGAAATAGACTTGTGATTTCTTTTTTCTTAAAAGGCTCCTCACCTCTAACACTTAAATGCTAGGCAAGTCCAGTCCAGTCTGCTCTATGGCTCCAGTCACACTGGAACTGCATTTAAGCATCAAGCATCGTCTAAATCAATTTAGATTTTATCGTTCACATTAAGCAAGGGTGAAATTGATTTACATAGGCTGCAGAAACCTTTTTTTTAAAAAAACAAAGCTGTGTCTGTTATATTTGATAAGGGAAAGTGTCACTTTGGTTTGGTTGAAATGGATGAAATTAGCAAATTTTCCCCTGATAAAGTTGATGAAAAAACTGAGGTTTTCAGGTGAAGGGCAAGGTCAAATGTGCTATGCAACATTTTCAGATTTCCACATTTTTAAGGAAAGTTAGGTGTATGACATAGAAATGGGAAAATGAAATCCAAATGTGCTTGTTAATTCCTTTCCTATGAGGTAAATTATTAATAGTTCCAAAGTCACTTGGATTAGGCTGTTTAAAAAAAACATTACTAGTACCACTAAAAAGAGGGGCTTTTTTGTTTAAAAAACCTGGGAAAGTCGCTATCAATTGTAGCCTTATGCACATAATTATTGTGGCAATGAAACTGTGCATGTGAAAGAGTTGCTTTAAATAATATATGGCAACGAGATAGCAGATAGTTTCCCTCCCAATATCTGTGTACAGTTGCCTAAGCTATGAAATATGCCAAAGCAACCCTGCTTTCATGTCCCATTAGTTAGGATTACATGCCACCTTGAAAGTAGTTCCACCTAGAAGTGGAAAGCAGCAGGAAAAGAGGAGGACCAAATATGAGATGGCTTGGTTCCATAAAAATATATGGCAACGAGATAGCAGATAGTTTCCCTCCCAATATCTGTGTACAGTTGCCTAAGCTATGAAATATGCCAAAGCAACCCTGCTTTCATGTCCCATTAGTTAGGATTACATGCCACCTTGAAAGTAGTTCCACCTAGAAGTGGAAAGCAGCAGGAAAAGAGGAGGACCAAATATGAGATGGCTTGGTTCCATAAAAGAAGCCACAACCAAATATGAGATAGCTTGATTCCATAAAAGAAGCTACAGCCTTGGGTTTGCAAGAGCTGAGCAAGTCTGTTAATGACAGGATATTTTAGAGGCTGGTCATTCATAGGGTTGCCATAAATTAGAGGCAACTTGACAGCACATCATAACAAAAGCATATTCCGCCTTTACTCCAGTAAGTGCACAGTGGCAGATAGGACTATCATTCCGTCAACAACAGTTCTGTGAAGTAGATCAAGCTGTTATTAGCCCATAATCACCCAGTGAGTTTCGTGGCTGATTCTGATTTTGAACCCCATTCTCCTGAATTGTAGTTTTAACACTCCAAACCATGGTTGTTGTGGGTTTTTCGGGCCTCACTTAAAGACATTAATTTGTTCCAGCGAAATCGCTGTACAAGTGAAAACGTCGTAAAGTGAAATAAAAAAGCCCATTGAAATGCATTGAAAACGTTCAATGCATTCCAATGGGCTGAAAACTCACCATCCAGCGAAGATGCTCCATAGGGGCGGCCATTTTCAGTGCCTGTAGAGCAAGGAATCTGTCCAAAAACACATCAGGGAGCCATTTTGAGCAACTGGCGGCCATTTTGAAAACCTGACAATCAGCTGTTTTGATCATCGTAATGCGAAGAATCGGTTCCCGAAGCAGGGAACCAATCTTCGCAAAGCGAAAATAACCCATTTAAAATATCGTTGTGTGATCGCAATTGCGATCGCAAAAACATTGTCGTGAAGCAGATTCATCGTTATATGGGGTAATCGTTAAGCGGGGCACGACTGTACATAACAATTTGCTTTCATGACATCCAGAAGGTGCTACCTGGGGACTCCTGCTGCACTCTCCCAAATGGTAGGGCTGGCCAGTAGCATTGCCTCCGTTCATCCGCTGTAGGGCAAGCCATAAATATGACAGTAGAATGAATAAAGCCATAAATAACATTTCTTTGTAGATCCGGGAAGCGGGGTGGGGAGCAAAAATGGAAGAACGGGATCTGAGAAGGCCTGAAGTCAAAGAAGAATCAGAGTCGGGAGGAAGAAACCTTTGTGTTATCCAAGTTGGGACCGTCAAGGAAGTTCTAACTGGCATGGAAATAAAGAAAGAAGCAAACGAAGGGCTTCGGGAACGCTGGGAGGCTCAGTGGCAGGAGTACCTGAGCAAGATGCAGCCTCCTCGGTTCGGACAGAGAGACCCACCCAAGTGGAAGGGCTGGTCCCAAGATGATGCTCTGGACCTCAGGGCCTCCCTCAAGGCTGTCGGTGAAGCCAGCTGGAGGTCCCCTGGAGAGTGCAGGCCTCCCTGCCTCCCTAAAGAAGCCCCCAAAGCACACGAAGGGCTGGAGGCATCAACTGATGCGAAGGAAGAGACGCCCGAGGCAGACCGCGCCACCAGCTCCTTGGAAGCACGACGCTGGAGCTTCCGGCATTTCTGCTACCGCGAAGCCGAGGGCCCCCGAGAAGTCTTGAACCACCTTCAGGCCCTTTGCCGCCAATGGCTGGAGCCGGAGAGACGGACCAAAGAGCAGATCCTGGAGCGGGCGACCCTGGAGCAGTTCCTGGCCATCCTGCCCCTCGAAATGCAGAACTGGGTCAGGGAACAGGGGCCGGAGACCTGCGCCCTTGCAGTCGCCCTGGCAGAGGGTTTCCTTCGCAGGCTCCCAGGGGCCGAGAGTCCGGGAGGAAAGGTGAGCAAAACGTTGGGTGAGCAGATTTCCCGCTCCTTCACTCGGAGGTGGGAAACGAAATAAAACTGCGAGCCTTCTAGCATGTCCTGCAGTGGCGGTTTTTTGGCCGCACCAATAAAGGGCTATGTTTATGTTCCTATGGTGTCTGTATGTGTGTGCATTTTGTGTGTTATGTGCTGCTAAGTTGCCTCTGATTCATGATGACCTTATGAATGAGGGATCTTCAAAGTATCCTGCCCTCAACAGCTCAGCTCTTGCAAACTCAAGCCTGTGGCTTCCTTTAGGGAGTTAATTCATCTCATATTAGCGCTTCCTCTTCTCCTACTGCCTTCCATCTTTCTCAGCATTATTGTCTTTTCCACAGAATCCTGCTTTCTCGGGATGTACCCAAAATAGGACAGCCTCAGTTTCAGCATTTTTGCCTCCAGAGATGGGTCGGTTTTGATGTAATCTAGGACGCACTGGTTTGTCTTTCTGGTAGTCCGTAAAACTTTCCTCCAGTACCACATTTCAAATGAATGATTTTTTTTCCTGTCAGCTTCTTTAACTGTCCAGCTTTCACATCCATATATGTCGATCAGAAATCCAAGAGTGTGGATGATCTTGGGACTTGTTCTCCAGGGAGACATCCTTCACACTTGATGATCTTTTCTAATTCCTTAACTGCTGCCCTTCCAAGTCGCAGTCTTCTTCTGGTTTCTGTACCCACATAGACATGCACATAGGGAGGGAGAGGAGATATATACAATTTCCCCGAAAATAAGACCTAACCTGAAAATAAGCCTTGGAAGATTTTTCAGGATGCTCGTAATATAAGCCCTACCCCCAAAAAATAAGCCCCAGTTCAGTGAAACTCCGCCCTCCACCCTTGTGCAGCAACCAGAAGATGATGACAGGACTGTATTTGAATAAATGTAGATGGTTGTACATGAAAAAAACGAAATATCCCCTGAGGGGAAATGTGTGTGTCTTTGTGTGTGTGTGTGTAAACATTTGGAAGACAGCAAGATTTGCCTTGTTTTCATTTTCAGATTATAGTGGAAGGATCAGGGCTGACCCCAAATATTTTGCTGTCCGAGGCACAACACAAGCCAGCCCCTTTTTGCATTCCATGTAATTAAGCCATAACAGTTCTATCTTCTTTCACTGTAGCTTACAAAGCTGCTTTTGCCACTGGATCTGAGGCACAGTTGCAGATTATTATTATTATTATTTGATTTATATCCCGCCTATCTGGACGAATAGACCACTCTAGATATATTTCAACTCCTTCTAGTCCCACTCGCCTGCTTGCCTTTTTTCCAAAACCAATCAAGACAGACAATATGGGCTAGATGGGTTGCTTTTTTATAAAAGCAACTTCCTGTGCTCCTAACCTTTATATTTTTCATTAAGACAAAGGAAAAAATAAAATCGAGTTTTAAAAGGGTGCTGGAATCAGCTGTGGGTATAAATGCCCTCAAAGGATATGTCTGCCTGGGCTTCAAGGAAATGGAACTGTGGGGCCTTTTCAAGACTTCGGTAGCCTGGCTGACCTGCGATTCCCAGTCAGGCTGCCCCTCCACACATGTTAAACTACAAATCCCATCCATCCCATAGTGGGAACCTGAGGGTTTTTATTGCTTCATTCATGGTACTTATAAGACTGAATAGAGGGGATGCCTTCCCCCTGAAATCAGAGCTGCTATCTCTCCCCCCCCCCCCATCTGCCTATCTGAAGTAAACCAAATTATTTTAGTTTAGGGGCAAAAAAATTCCCTATGTGCTCCTGGCCGTCCTTTGCAATAAAAATGCTCTAAGAATAAAATAAATAACAATTTTCTGCTCTCTCATTACTTCCACAAAAGGCCACCTGAGGAAGTCTTATAACAAACTTATCCATTTTGAAGGAAATCAACCTTGAGTGCTCACTGGAAGGACAGATCCTGCAGCTGAGGCTCCAATACTTTGGCCATCTTATGAGAAGAGAAATCTCCCTGGAAAAGACCCTGATGTTGGGAAAGTGTGAAGGCAAGAGGAGAAGGGGGCGACAGAGGACGAGATGGTTGGACAGTGTCATTGAAGCGACCAACATGAATTTGACCCAACTCCGTGAGGCAGTGGAAGACAGGAGGGCCTGCCGTGCTCTGGTCCATGGGGTCACGAAGAGTCAGACACGACTTAACGACGAAACAACATCAGATTGACCTGTTTTACCTCCTATGAGAAGAACTGCTCCCTTCATACTAGCTTGAAGGGAATATCAATTCCCTTTTAAGTCAAGATAGGGTCATCTCCCTACCCAGGCCTGTCTCTGGATGACAGAAGGCCACTTCCAGTTCCCATGACTCAAGAGCCTCGTGGCACAAGTGGTTAAACTGCAGTACTGCAGCCAAAACTCTACCCACAACTTGGATTCAATTCCAGGTAGCCAGCTCAGGGTTCACTTAGCCGCCTGTCTGATGGTAAATTGAGTATCTAGCTTGCTGGGGGGGGGGTGTTAATGTGTAGCTGTGAGACAGGTGGCGAGAGGGTGGAGATTGAAGCAGGAGCTGGAGAGGTAGGAAGAAAGGAAGGGCAGTTGCCACCTGGCTGGGAATAGGTGGGTGGATGCAGGACTCATGGACTGGAGAATGGGAAAGATTGAGGGTCCCTAGAGAAGAGGCAGATTATAGAAGATCAGGGATTCCACCTAGACCTTTGTATTGGGGAGATGTGGAGGCGAGGGAGTGGAGGAGAAGATTGAGAGAGGAAAAGGAACGTGTAGAGAGAGAGAGAGGAGAGAAAGGTCGGAATGGAGAGTAATGGAGATGAGGAGAAGGAGTTACAGGGAGGATCTTGGGAGAACCAGGAGACCCGCAGGAAGGATCCAGTGGGATGACCGCACGGACGAGGAGACCGTGCCCCTTTTGGATGACCCGACGGGGTTGACCATAAGAGACTGGGTCCCTCCTGTTTTACCGGGACCTTGGAACAATTGTTTTGGAAACCCGTTCGTATTTGAAGAATAGAGACTCCTTCCGGACCCATTGGCAGAAAGAGACAGAGATCATGATCATGTTCAGGACACTTGCTTATTGTTAAATACACCAATAAATCTTTCTATGCAACAAACGTCATCCAATTTCCTTGATTCAAAGATGGAACCAAAAGTCGAACTCTCACAGTAGCCTGCAGAATTGAATTGTAAGCCGCCTCGACCGTGCCTTAAGCGCCATGAGGCAGTATATAAGCAGCATGCTTTGCTTTGATTTTTGCTCCCTATTTTTCTTACAAAAGTTGATCTTTTGTTGACCAGCCCCCTTGTGCCCTCTAGTGGCCAAATTAAAATAGTGGTGGTACAAGGGGTGCCGGGGCTCTCTGAAAATCCGTTCCAGGATTAACGTCGCTATCCGGATTCGTCGCTATGCGGGGGGGGAAACCCCATAGGAACGCATTAAACGGAGTTCCTATGGGGGAAAAACTCACCGTTATGCGAAGATTCCCCCATCCAGTCGCCATTTTCGCCGCCCTGTATGCGAGGGCAGGGCGCGAAAATGCTGTTTTGCTGATCCGGCGGCCATTTTGGAACAGCCGATCAGCTTTTTTCTAAACATCACAATGAGAAGATCGGTAAGCAAAACGCATTAGCGATCGCAAAAAACGCGTCGCTATGCGGATTCATCGTTAAACGGTGCGCTCGTTATGCGAGGCACCACTGTACTGCAAAATTGTCCCCATGCCTGCAAAGAGCAAAAGGGGACTTTCTGAGCAAAAGCTTTTTAATGAAATTAATTTTATATATCCGAGTGACGGTTTTACTTTTTCCATTCAGGCAGCGCAACCTTTGGAAGAAGTGACCATCAGTTCTTCCCGGCTGGAGCATGATTCATCATCGGACAGCATGGAACTGCTGCTTCCTGTTGAAATCAAACAAGAAAAAACTGGGGAGACCGACTCACAGGGTGAGGCTTTGCTTATTATCATTTTGTTTTGTTTGCTCTGAGATATTTATTTCTCGACTGAGCAATGGGCTCCCATGGCAGTAATTATGCAAAAGCGATGTGCTGTTTTGCATTTGCCGTTCCATGAGAAGACTTCCGTTAGGATTTTTGATCTAAGATAAGATTCAGGGACGTGGGGCCCTCTAGAGATGGCTGGATTATAGCTCCTATATCGTTGACACTG